AAAGGGCGGCATATAAATGCAATAAATTCAATTCAATTCAATTCAATATTAAGCTGGTTTTCTCTGGTTCAGGCAAACCGGCAGTGGCGCTTGTGGAAGGCTCCACCCACCCACCCCAACGTAATGTGCGAGCACTGTGCATGCGCAGAAGCCGGTGCACATGCGCAGACACGGCACATGCACTCACATTTGCAAACTAGTAGAGAAAGTAAGTGAATCCCACCGCTGCGGTGATCCTAGGAAAAGTCATCCAATTGTATGAATGAATACAGAGGGGAGGAAACCCTTCTTATTTGTTTGCAATGTATTTGGTATCTTACATAGTATTATCTTAAAAACAAAAAAGTGTCTTCATTATGATGATCTTTTTAAAGGAATGACAAAAGGATGGGAAACAGTGCAAATTCTTCTTAAAATTCAACAAACTGTGTTCTTTTGTTCAGTACCAGCTTTAAACTGTGCTAAATCAATTCTGTGTTAATGTTACGTTTAACTGTATTATCTGTCAATGATCTGGAAAGAAAGATCTAATTCTATCATGATAGACAATTTTTTAAAAAAGCATTTCCTTCCTTTTATGATTCAAAAAGGGATCATTTCATTGGCTGGATAGAAGCGCAATTCGTGTTTGATATTACACACTTGATCCATTACTCCAAAATAAAAGGCATTTTGTCACATTTCGTTAGATACTTAAAAACGCAGTTTAGCAATAATCAATGCACTATAGGTAGGTCTTCTTTTTCTTATGCAGAAGCTTCATCTCATTGTATGTACATCTTAGTAGAAACAATAGTCAAAATCCCCAAAAAGAATGGTAGGCATAAGCATCTGATATTTAAAAAGTGCATTTTTGAGACAACTAGGGCACTGTATAATATCTGTATACCTGTTAAATTGCTGCAAATCCTGTGAACTGTGACAAAATAGGAATAGAATGAATGAATGAAAAGATAAGGTGGGATAGGATAGCATAGCATAGCATAGCATAGCATAGCATAGAATAGGGCAGCGCAGGGCAGGGCAGGGCAGAACAAATTAAGACAGGACATGAGAAGACAGCACCAGACAGCACAAGAAAGGACAGGACAGGATAGGACCAGACAAGACAAGACAAGCAGGCCAGGCCAGGCCAGACCAGGACAGGTCAGGATAGGACAGGANTGTGTGTGTGTGTGTGTGTGTGTGTGTGTGTGTGTGTGTGTGTGTGTGTGTGATGGTTTCAGAAAGTTCCTTTGGGAGGAAGAGTGGAATGAAATAAATGCATGAAATAAAATTTAAAAAAATAAGAAAAACAGCAATTGTTTACAGGGTCAACTTGACACTGCATTTTGATTTCACTATTATTATTATTATTTTTTGCCAGCCAGGCCAGTTTGAATGATTCTAGCTGAGTTTCTGCTTCATTAATGCTTCCACCGTGTAGAATTCTGGAATACACATCAAACTACTGCTGTGCTCAGAAGCGGGAGCAGTTGTTAACCAAGCTCCGTGCATATTCTGTAACTACTGATGAATGTGCAAGTAATTATGTACACAAGTTCACATACATATAGACTCATTATTGTTAACTAAATAAAGAGGCTACCAAACTCCCCTGCATATTTTGATACATGTTTAACAACCTGTGCTGAGCTCTAAATATAGGCTAAGTTCCATCCACCCCCAACCCACACTACCACAAACAAATTAATAAATGTTACCTGAAATGGGAGTTGTGACTGTGGGCTGTATAGGATAGGCCTGCTGAACGAATGGCTTTATGCTGAAACAAACCAATGGACAACGAAATCACATTACTTAGAATAATCATTACTAAAAGTATTTCTTCTCATTGCAATTCAGTCCAGTGCAATAATATTTATTGTACATATTGTTTTGTATGAAAAATAGAACCTTAATAAATGCTACTGACTAAAAAAAAAAAGGGGGGGGGGAGATTCTGTCAAGGAGCATTTGGTTTTAATTCAGCTACGAGCTAGCCACAAACAACCTTTGGATCCTTACTGGGAATCAAGATTATCATCTGCATCACAGATCTGTCATTGTCCCTGCCTTTTTATGGGTAACACATGGACCCAGTTTTAACTGGGAGATTTAAGGTGGCAGGATTCCTTCTTTCTTGCACAACAAGTAAGGGCTATGCAAAGCTTCATGGGAGTGCTTTGCTATGACAGCAAAGCAGTTCATTATTTGCACCTTGCTACCTCTAACAGCAAACGGGCTGGCCACACTATCTCACTTTGAGGCTTCCTCTGGCAGATCCCGGGAAGGGAGTGAAGAGGCTTCTTCACTATACATGTACAGAAGTCTCTTTCAGCTACAGTGAACGAAGCTTAGAGCAATGCACAATATCTCCCAATGCACTGTCCTACCTTCTTGTCTTGAGAAGGAATTGCATTGCCTCTGGGCTGCAAAGTGACTTGCCAAGGCATACGCAAACTACCTCCCACGAGCCTACTAAAGAGAGGTCCTGCCCCACCCTCAGCTGCTCTAGTTGCTTTAATTATGGTGCCAAGCTCACTACTATGATTCATTGGTCAAACATATGCACAAAGTCAAATTACTCAAAGCATAAACCAGAAATACTCATGCCTTTTTAAGTTAATTGATTAGGTGATTTCCTGGACATTCAATAAATTCTCCTATGCAGCTAGACTGGGTTATATGTTTCTTCTTAAATAGCTTTCAACATTTGTATTTGCTTTCTTTTAAAATGTACCTATTTTTCAGCCAAAGTACTCACAGCAGCCTATTGAGTCATATAAAATTATGTTATATGTACAAAGCATCTAAACTGAAATATGGCCACCATTTGCAGCTCTTAGACCTCAATAAAATGGATGGAGTCCTTTTTGGCTACGTTTTTAAAGTTATGGTGACTGTAAGACATGAAATGGTTAATGAAAAGGCCAAGTCTTTACCCTCAAACTCTGAAACCCATCCATTCCTTATTTAAATATCTGCCCATTTTTTGAGTGTGACCCTTGACATCCGGCACAAGAGATGTCAAGGAATATGCCATAAATCTTTTCATATGTATTTTCCTTGACACTAAATACTAAAGGAAAAACCTACCTGCAGTTAATATGTGGAATGTGTGTGTGTGTGTGTGTGTGTGTGTGTGTGTGTGTGTGTGTGTGTGTATGATTGGTGACCTGCTGAACAGAAGAAGACACCAAGCCTAATTCTGTGATCTGGTGTTTGTTGAATGTACAGTCTAGAAACGTGATGGCGAACCTATGGCACGCAAGGTGTTGTCAGGGCATGCGAGGCGTTGCCCTGTCAGCTGGCCAGTGCACATGCGCATGCTGGCCAGCTGACTTGAACCATCTTTTGAGACCTTTTTTGCCAATCGGAGGTTTCCTTGAAGCTTCCAGAGCATGAAAAACCGGCTCTTTGGGCAAACCGTAAGTTTAGGCACCTACTTCCGGTTTGCTCGTAGGGCCGGTTTTAGCCCTCTGGAGCCTTTCAGAGGCTTACCGGAAGGCTCCGGAGGACAAAAAACAAACCTACGAGCAAACTGAAAGTCACTTCTGGGTTGCTCGTAGGACTGGTTTTAGTCCCCACCCCCAGAGCCTTCAGGGGCCTCAAGGTGTTTTTTGCCCTCTGGAGCCTTCAGGGAAGCCTCCTGAAGGCTGTGGAGAACAAAAAACACCCCTATAGACAAACCAGAAGTCACTTCCGGTTTGCTCGTAGGGTCGTTTTTTGTCCTCCAGAGGCTTCAGGGAAGCTCCTGAAGCCTCCAGAGCGGGAGGGCTGTTTTCGCCCTTCCCAGGCTCCTATAAAGCCTCTGGAGCCTGGGGAGATCAAAAAAAGCACATCAAAAATGGGGGGAGCGCAGGTCATGTGCACATGCATACTGGGGTCATGTGCATAGCATTATGGGTGTGGCATGCCCACACACAACCCCCCTGCGCTCCCCCCATTTTTGGCCCACGAGCCAAAAAAGGTTCGCCATCACTGGCCTAGAATGAACTATGGTAGGACAAAAGAGAAACAAGAAGCAGTTGCGGGCTTAGCCCTAACTTGCAAAGTTCTTAAGCCAGGAAGACAATTTGATCCTTCTGTGCCACATCTGACACCCCCCCACACACCTAAAAAAAACAACCTAAAAGTGGTAGGGAATTGCTCTTGTGTATCATTTTTATTTCCTAAAAATTCTTTAGGGACCAACACAAACTATGGCTTGCTAAAAATAATAATAATCTATGATTCATTGGATTGGATGAATGTCCTACTTGCCCAGAAAACACAAAAGTCAGGTGATAAAAGTGGGAACATATGTGCATGTTCATAAATTATTCTTTTCTAACTGGATATATACCCGTCCCTCATAGCAGCCATTTTATAGGTGTGCCTGAAGTACCTCTCAAAACTGCAAATCAGTCCTCTGGACCAAAAATATTATCTTTCCTTCTTCTACTAGCTATTGTTTAAGTTGTTGCCTTCTAAATTAAAAATAATAACTTTCCAATTAATGCTATTTTTTTTAATTTTCAGATTGATGTCATTTGTTCTCGGTAAAATAAAGCAGGACATGGCTTCACCTGGAAATAACATTATCAAGTATAGCAAGCATTCTACAGACTGCATAAGCATGACTAACAAGGAAAATTACAGCTATAATGTGATTGGTTATTCTTTATCCATGATATGGTTCCGCCTGATTTTTGTTGCAGTGAGAAACTGGGTCTGAGTTGTTTGTACCCCCTTTTCCCCCAAGCTCCTATCACCTTATGAACTACAGCTATTCCTGAAGTTACTATCCTACTATTGCTTAAGCTGATATGTACGTTTTGACTGTGCTTCTTAACTAAATGTATAGAAGTAAGGAACTAAATCCATTTACCAAAAGCCCAAATTTCCCATCCAATAACACTATGTAATTAAAATAGCTCAAATCTCAAAACTGTGATAATTAATGACAATACAGGTAGTGCTTATTTAATAATTGGGAGCAGAATTTCTTTGGAAAAATGGTCTTGTCATAATGAGCAACATCATGAAACTGCATCGGGAACAGGAGTGACTTACCAGAGCACCTTGCAAACTCCTATCAGTTTCCTCATTGGCTTCATTATTTATTTATCAAATTTAGAGACTGCCCTTTTCACTCAAAGACTGACAATGGGTGGTATACAATTAAAATATTACTTGTGAGAAGCCAGAAAGGAAGATTGCAAAAGGCAATCACGTAACTGTGAAATATTGCAACACTTTAAATGTGAACTGGTTTCCAAAAGCCCAGATCACCTGACCATGGGTCACTGGGTCAGCCACAATTTCAAAGACCAGCCATAAATTCCCTTTGCTCAGTGCCATCATAATTTTGAATGCTTATTGACCATGTTGTTGTAACTGCAAGGACCATCTGTAGGGTAGAAATGTTTGGGGGATTTTCTAAATTTCAGGAATTAGTAATTTTACAGGAAAGTTTGATCATTCAAATGCTGCATACCAGTTGGTTTACTACTTTCTTCATTTATAGGGAAAGACACTAAATTCTATTGGACGGGTAAGCAACATTTCAAATAACAGATAGTCCTTGTTTAGAGACCACAGCTGGCACTCAATCATTAAGACTTTAAGACAGCTAATTTCAATAAACTTAGAGAGAGCTTGGGAAACATTCCATGGATGAGAATCCTCAAGGATAAACAACTCAAGAAGCTTGGGAAGTTTTCAAAAATGAGATTATAAAAGCCCAGTCTAGCACAATACCAATGAAGAAGAAAAATAACAGCTCCC